GTTGCTCAGATTATCGGATATAGGTATGCAAAATTGATTAAATGTGTTTCTTCTATGCAGCATATTGCTTGATCTTGTTTCCTGATCTATTCTGTCAATCTGTTTCTTTTGATGGGTGAATTGAGACCATTCAGATTGACCAGCATAACTGATAGGTAATTGACTTGTCCTTGTCAGCATATTATTTTCCTTTTGCTGATTCTCTTTCTTTCCTTCTATTTAATTGCTTACCTTGCTTGGTGGTTTTATTCTAAAGGGATCTTTGGGATTGTTCTCTTTGTTGTGTTTTTCTGATAGCCTTCCAGAACTTTTTAGAGTAAAAAAAGTTTGGTGCTCATGAATTTCTGTTGGTGTTGTTTATTGTGGAAGTATCTTATTTCTCCAACAATTTTGAAAGATAATTTTGTGGGGTTCATCAATCTGGGTTGAAGGCTGTTTTGTTTTGGGGCTTGAAATACTTCACTGCAAGCTCTCCTTGACTTAAGAGTTTGTGTTGAGAAGTCTCCTGTGATGCTGATGCGTTTTCCTTTATAAGTGATTTTGTTTTTCTCTAACAACCCTTAATATTCTGTTCTTATATTGAATTTCTGGAATTTTGACTATTACATTCTTTGGCATAGTTGCCTTGATGTAGGTATTTTTTTCTGACCATGGCTAATTAGAGTTCTATATGCCTCTTTTATGTCAATTTTTTTCCATGTTTGAGAGGTTTTCTGCTATTATTTCTATGAAAAGGTTTTTTTATGTTCTTTGTGATATCCTCTGAGCTTTTCATTGATTCCAATTAATCTTCTGTTATTCATCTTTGCATAGTCTAGCAGCAACAGGATTGACTTTATTGTGGTTCCTTTCTGTTTTTAAGTCTTTCATTTTATGATCGTTAACTCCAACCCTGTCTTTCCAGATCTGATATTCTATCTTCATATTAGTTGACTCTACTGCATATACTTTCAATAGAATTTTTAATCACCTAGATATCTGTTTGAATCTGTTTTATGGAATGCTGTTCTTTCCTACATTAAGTAGTCATTATTTCTATCACTTTCCTAAGCTCTTCTATTTTTTTTTTTTTACATCTGTATCTACTCTAGATTCACTAACCATGTCCATTATGGTCATCATATCTTTAATTATCTGTGTAATTATTTGTTTTGTTTTATTCTATTTTGTTTTCTAGAGTCTCAACCATTTGCTTTCTTACTTCTACTGCTATCATTTCAGAAAGTTCAGGTGGGTGGAATTTTATTTCTTCCATGCAAATACCCCCTGGATTTGTCTTGCATGAGCTGCTGATCTAGAGTTGTACCCAGCTTTCATATTTTCTCATTTTCTATTTTTTATTTGTTTTCTGCATTGATACTTGTAATTGCTTGTGATAGGTAGCTTTATTATTAATACTGAGATCTCTTTAGGAAATGACTACTCTTCAGAGATATCTTAAAGGAATAGCTGGCTTTCACCTTTAAGTCTGTCCCAAGATCCTGCCTCTTCTATTAGGAATGAGAGGTTACAGTCTGTTTAGCCTAGCATCCAGTTCTTTGGTATAGGACTGTAATACTGTTTATGTCCCCCAGACAACTTAGGTATTGGCATACAAGAAAGATTAGTTGATCACAACAATTATGCCACCTTAGCTAAAGTAGTAAATCATCAATAAAAATAGCATCAAACACAGCCTGGGAAATGACAAAGTGTGATAAGTAATAATTTGCCACTTTTAACCATATATACAAGATTTATAGTTATAACAAAATCTAAGACAAATCAGAAAATTATATACAATAATTATTCACTCAGTAGAGTAATTTTACCCTGAGGACAAAATTAAAACAGAAAAGAGGAAAAAACAGAGAAATAAAAAAACAAAGAGAGATTAGATGCAAGGTTGAAGGACAAAGAAAGATTACCCAAGCTCTAGGAAACTGGTGAAGAAGACAGGTGGGAAGGAAAGAATAAACAAAAAAAAGCAGAGACAAAACAAAGCAAAAAAGCCTACAATGTTCACCCTCATTAAAAAAAAAAGAAAAAGAAAACTAAGTAATAGATAAATAAATAAACCAAAACAAAGGGAAAAAACTGAAGAAGGAAGAGTGGGGCAGAGGAGAGGGAGAAAGAGGAGGAGAAGAGGAAAGAGAAAGAGGAGAGGAAAAAGGGAATGGAGAAGAGGAAGGAAGGGGAGGAGAAACGGGAGGACAGAGGTGGAAGAAGAGAAGTAGTAGTAGTTGTTGGTTTCTCCAGGGTTTCAAGCCTGTGATTATCTGCCAGGGTCTATAGTTTTGTGGAAGTGTCCAGTTCAAGATGTGACTCTTTTCTTGCTGACTGACAAAGGATGTGGTCAGAGCCCACATCTGCCCTGGATAATTCCCAGTAGGCTGGAGAAGGATTAGGACGGGGTGCTGGATAATCACCACAAACTGGCAGCAGGACTAGGATGTAGTGTTGGTTCCAGAACTTTCAAATCCACAGATTCAGGGTGAACCTTTAGTCCAGTATTGGGGTAGGGGCCTAAGCCATTTAGCTTATAACACTCTGGGTGTCTTCTGCTGGCCTGTTCATGGCTCCCTGACTATGGATGTCTTAAGATTGTTCCTTACCCAGTCACTGTGGTAGTTTAACACTGGAAAGCCTGAGATGAAGCTGACCCACAGCTGCTCTGAATCCTGGAATTAGCTGGCCCCTTCCTAAAATGAGGTCTGACCAAGCACACTTTCCAGGGGACATGGCAGTTGCTTGGACTAGAGTCACTCACCAGGTATTGGCAGCGCACAGCATCCACTGCTCTGTTCCAGTAGTGTGTTTCTCCCTGGAGGCCTCTGGAGTCACCCACTTTCACTGTGTCTGATCTTCCTTTCTCACACAATGAGCCAGGAGCCAGGGCAAAAGTACAGATTGCCCCTTCCTTTTTCTGTGTTGTGGTCTGTCTCTTCAGTCTTTCTGTAGGGTCCAATTTTTCCTTCAGGTCCTTCCTGAGTCTCAGGGATCCACCTCTCACTTTCTTTCCTTCCTCAAACTGTTATTTTCCAGTGTCTATATCTCCAGTGTTATCTTATGTTTTCCTTTCCTATTTTAAATGCATTTATCTCGTTTGACAAGGGAAGATAGAGGGTTAGGTAAGAAATGGAAAAACAAGAGAAACAGAATGGAGAGGACAGATGGTTAACACAAGCAAAGGTAGAAGAGACTGAGCAAGAACAGAAAATGAAACTAAAAAGCTTGAGAGGAAGAATTTTACAAGTGGGAGAAAAAAGTAAGAAGTAAGAAAATAGCATTGCTGTGGGAGCCACAGTTGAAAAAGCTAGATAGGGAAATAAGAGGGAGAGAACACAGACATCAACTAAACCAAAGCAAACAAAACAAAACAAAACACAGAAAATATCTGGCAGGATCTCAGTTCAAATACTCCAACAACAGAATGTATATGCAATTCATCTGACCACTTTGCCAAAACGCCTGTGTGTTCACACCATTCCCTTCTTGTTTTGTGTACTGATCAGATGCAGCCTCACTTTTCCTTTTCACTACAAAATGCACACAAATCTAGTCTCAGCAGCTCAACTCTGCTGGCTTGTAGGCAGAATCTGAATAAGCAACTCCTTCCCCACGGCAAGCATGATGGCAGAATCTGTGGGCACGTTCTCTAGCAGGCAAGGGACTACAGAGTTAGGGGCATGCTCGTGCTCTAGCGGAGGTCACCCGAGATCTGTGAACATGTTTACACATAACTGAGGAGTCTGAAGGAGATGGGAGCAGCTGTGGAACCACAGGAACCAGTGATTTACTCTCAGATGGGTGTCCACAGATCCTGCAGGACGGAAGTGCACACCCATGTGTATGCACAGTCCCTATTCACTCATTTATTCTTTCTCCATCCAGGGTAAGGTGAGGGGTCCTTGCCCTCAGGTAAGTGCTGGTGGGGAGTACACAGGACATGGCAGCGGCTGATGTGCAGGCCACAGGAATGAGCAATCCACCCTTAAGCAGTAGTCTATAGAGTCTGCAGAGTAGGGGTGTACATCCCTGTTCACACGTTCATCCTCCTGTGTCATAGTTACTTTTCTCTCATTGCAGAGACAAAATGTCTCACACCGAGAACTAAGGAAGGAAAGGCTTATTTAGATCACAGTGTATAGAGGTTTCAGTCCATATTCAGCTGGCTCCAAGGCAGAATGGCACACGGCAGACAGCAACAGTTCAGGCAGTGGAAAACAGCAAAAGCAATAGGAGCAAAAGGAGCCAGCTGAGTATGGACTGAAACCTCCACACACTGTGAGCTAAATAAACCTTTCCTTCCTTGATTTTGGGTGTTGGATATTTTCTCTCAGCAACAAGAAAAGTAACTAAGACAGTGCTCGGGTACTTTTCCACTTTGGACTGTTAGCATTAGTGCTGTTCCCTAAACACAGACACCCCAGTCTACAACAAGTCAGGAACGCAGAGGTTCAGGAAAGATTCAAGCTTTCCTCTCCCTGCCACCACCAAACATACGGGCAGATGTCACACTGTTGAGAGAAAAAGGGAGAACCTTGCATTTATTTTTTAAAAAATACACCTTAAACTGTCTCAAATAAGAACATGTAGAAAGATCACTGATATAAAGGTTAAATTTTATATATGCATTTAAACGTCATATAAGCACTCATATTACCCCACAGAACTAGAAATATGCAGAAGATGTTACCCTAGTTGCCTTCCACATATCCTCACTATGCTCAAGATATTAAAGAAAGGCTCCTAATGTTTAGAATTTAAACTTATTTCCTTAGTCAAGGTGCACTTTTCAGAAGGACCTTTTAGAGGGTCAGTTCTCTTGTTTCTCATACCAGCTATTCCCCACTTACAAAAAAACAACCAATTATGGGAAACTACCACATATAACATCAAATTCCAAAATGTTTGCAGGCAAAATTGAAAATCAGAACATTCATAAAAGTGTCATTTTCATGCCTATTACTAGCAAATATCTTAAACATCAGCTGAGAGAAATAAAATCATATGCTTACTGCTCCATCACACCGGCCATCCTTAATCCTTAGATACATCCGTGCTTTTTTCACACTTTCAAACATGCAAATCCCAGAGCTGATTTTATGCACTTTCCAGTACGATTTTTCAGACTGCTTTCCTGCTCCAGTGCAGGTCCCATCAGGCTGGGGACACAGGGCCTGACACAGGCTCGTAGCAAGCAGAACCACAGCACTGTTGTAGAACACTCCCTTCAAAGCAGTGAACAACAGAAAGAAAGGCAGGAAGTTAAGCATACATTCCGTTAGAGACATGGCTAGAGAATCAGTTGTCCTATAGAGGTCGCAGTTACCTGGATCTTATTAGGAGCTTGGTAGCTGAAAATAAGCAAAACAAAAAAATATACACACAGCTAAATAAAATTAACAGATTTACATCAATAATTACTGAGAGTGTAGGGTCAGCATCTGATGCTACGGAGTTTTTTTAAAGATTCATAGCCAGCTAATTCCGACTGTCACCTTGCGTGTATTAAGAGACGTCTGGAGAGGTGAGTGGACTCAGGGCTCTAACCGCACAGTGAGTGCGTCCGCAGCTGCGTGCTCAGTTAGGAAGCAGGTCTGGTGGAGGAAGCCACAACAAACCTCCACCCCTTTACACTGCAGATGTCAGGAATTTTGTATAAGCAATGGGAAAGCTGACCAATATCACACAAAACACAAGTATTTCTCTCAAAGAATTTACAATCACTATAAGCAAATAATTTTTATATTAATGTAAGCCAAAATAAAAAGAATGTGCTGTAAGAGTACCAAAATTATGGAATGCAATCTATGGACATGGATTAAATGTATGTGCATAGGAATTAAGTGAAATAAATCAGACTCAGGTGGGTAAACATCATATTGTCTCCTTGGTGTAGGAACCTGAAAGACTACATAAAACTCAAAATGTACAATAGATGATAGGAAAGGAAAAGAAATTGCTCAAAAGAAGGAATGACTGGGATGAGGGAAAGAAAAAAAAAGAAAGAAGGAATGCAAAATATAAATATATATGAACGGCTGCGATAACTGTATTGCTGATGTCTGATGGTGTACTGAAATGAACAGTTAATGATTACAAGGTTTTATGTTCTGATCGATTGTGCATGCTTGTGTGTGGTGGTCTGAGCAACTGATGTGAAGGTAACAATATGTGGAATTACAATGGTGAATTCCTACGATCTTGTCCAGTGAAACTGTATTATCTCTACTGTTTTATCGAAGAATTATTTTCTTATTCCCTATAATGGTTTGAGCAATCTTTCATTCTTACATCTGGTAATCTGAGCAATATAGTTGAGGATAGCAATGTGTGATATAACAATCACTGTTGATTCGTATTATTTTGTCTTGAGACTCTGTATCACTTTGAATGTTCTTGCTTTGATTTGTTTATGTTTGTGATACTGGTATGCTGCTACTGCTCTATTTATTTGTTTGTTTCTCATTTACTACTCTCTTTAAAATTAAAAAAAAATGAAATAAGGAATTAATAAAAAGAAAAGTAAACAACTAATATATACTGCAATAAATCCTATGCAATCATCAAGAGAACAACATAAAGTTATTGAAAATTCACTAAAAATACATTAACACTGTAGAGAAATGAAAAAAGGCAAACATATAAATCATAAAGGGTATAAATTCAATTGGTGTATATAAATAAGAAAAGGTAATCCATACTAGCAGTGAATAAACACTTAAATTAGGTGTTTATTCTTGTAGGCAGCTGTCTAAGATTTCCTCTTACAGGCCCACATTCAATACTTAGGATAGTGAAACGGGTTTTTCTCCTACCCTGCTCCAAGGTGTTGGGAACAAAGAACTTAACCTTACCCAGCGAAGTCTGGCCTTTGCCTCACCTTCCGAGAGATAATCTCTAAGCTCCTGGAGTTGACACACCTGATAGGAGTGTTTGCTCTCCTAATGGCTTCAGGCCAGCCAGAGAGTAATTATATGACTTAAAGTAGCGGGTTTTGGATCATAAGGTATCAAATAACCTCCTAAGAGGCTGGAGACTGAAATTATCCACGAAGACTGTGTGTTGGAACTCCAGTAAAGACTCCTGATACCGAGTTTGGGTGAACTTCCCTACTGACAGTACTTCCTCTGTATCACGCCACATCAGCGAGGAGAAAGTAACTCTGCCCTGACTGCACAGGCAGAAAACAACTAGAAGTTCCACATCTGCTGCTTTTCCTAGGCTCTGCCCTACGTGTGTCTTTGAGTAGCAAATTTTAATCTGTATTCTTTCTCCGTAATAAACCATAAGTATAATGATTTTCAATGATGCTTTGAACCCTCCCCGTGAATTACCAAGCCTTGAGAGTGGTCTCAGGAACCCCAGACTCTGCAACTGCTGTCAGAAATGAGGTGGTAGAACAGACCTTTGCCTCTAACTTCATGATCGACTTAAGTTTCACAGAAATAAAAACTGATACATTTTTGGGAAAAAGTTTGATGATGTCTCTAAAGTCTTAAAAGTTCCATATTTCAACCCTTAAATTCAGTTTCTAATTATTTAAGCTGAAATATAATAAAAGATATAGTCAAAGGTTAATGTTAAAGTATATTACAGCACCATGTGCACAAATATAAAATAAAAACAATGTTCAGGAATTTATAAATACAGGTATACATATATGAAATCCTCCTTGAATATTAAATAATATACTATGAGTTAAATTCTGAGGAAGATAATAATGTTAGGAAGTATGTATTATATAACAAGTATAATCCATTTATAAAGACAAGAGTTTGGTTTGAAACATGCTCTACCTTTTAATATCTATACTATAGTAGCCAAGGATTCATATATTCATATTCTCTCCCTCTCTCTCTTTCCTTCTTCTTCTCTCTTCACTGGACATTGAACCCAGAGCCTTTGCACACAGCTGCATTACCAGTCCATTTATTTTTTATTTTTTATTTTGAGACAGGGTATAAGTCATTAAACTGTCCACCTAGGCTCAAACTTGTGATCATCCTGCTTCAGCCTCCCAGAGTGCTCAGATTATAGACATGCACCATCACATCCAGCTCATTATGATTCTTCATATCACTGAAAATCTTTCCTTCACCTTTAAAATACAGGTATTTGTCAGTACTTTGTTGATGATTCAGTCTTATATGTGATAAAACTTTCAATAACATGTCTATAAATAGCCAATTGCATAAATTATAGCTATTATAATAACATGATAGTAATATTTTTAAGACAAATCCATAAACACATACCATAAAGAAAGAGACAAAAGCATTAGGAAATGACTACACCTGTTTAAAAATCACAGGATACAAACCCCAATTGTTAGAAAAGTTCAATATAGTCACTGGTTTGACACCAGAATGTAAGATTCTCTAACTTTTTAACTCAGAATCTCTCCATCCGAAGTTTTAACCTCCAGCTTCGGTTAGGTACAGGACATTATTCCCAGCACAGCTGCACTGCTACTAAAGCTGTGATCCCTGTTGCTTTTCAAAGTACGGGGAAACAACGGTAGCAGACATCAATGCCACCTAGTGGAAAGAGATCTGATTACTACAGTACGACTCGATTCAAAATTTTCCTCAATAAGGCAAAAGAAAGTTATTTAACAATATAAACTTTGATGATGAAACTCCTTTTTACCTTGACAAAAATCACAAATTCTCTTGAAAGTTCCGCATAGCCTGCTGCTGACGCATCAGCTATTCTGCCAAGGCGATTAAAAGCCACGGTGTGACCAGGAACCAGAGCTGACTCCAGAAGTGCAGAGCGGCCGGGCTGATAAAGCACCCGCAGCTCAGTGGGGGCTCCACCACCAGCCTAAAAGAAAATGTTAAAAAAGAAATCCAATTCCGAATTAGCAAGAGGAAACAATAAAATTGAAAATGTCCTGACATTATGTGTTTAATGTATGTAGGCTTGCTCCGGGCTATACAACCTTTGTGCCAATTACACACTCTCTTGCTTTTGTAACTGAATTGGCTTTATTCCCCAGCCTTATTGTCGGTGAACTGCTCCAAGGATTTTCTTCTCTTGATGTCTTCGAACCCACAGCAAAGCATGACTTATCAAAAACAGCTCCAGTGGCCAGATAATTTAATAAAATGTTTATGTGTATTTTATCGCTGTTTTCATTTAATCATTTTAGTCTTTCTAACTAGAAACTATTTGGGACTAAAAATTAAATATAACAAAAGTCCTACCTCATTCCTAGGTTTGTTTTCAAAAGACTAAATGAAATTGTGTAGATTATGCTATAGGGAAACAGTCCTGGTGCAGTGCAGTGTTGGAGGACTTGCCCACTTCCCATCAGTGTCCTAGGTGAGCAATAGGTACTCTGAATGGCCAGACTCATGAGCCTAGGTCTACCAGTTTCAGTAAAGTTCAACTGCTCAAGGAAGTAACAGTGCTGGGAAGTAACAGAGCTCTTCACCTTTAAGAAAACATATTATGCTTTATGAGTCCATCACAATGGTTAGTGTGGACCCAAACTATAGGGTGACCCAGATATCTGAGAACTCATACCAGGTGATATCTGTGTGAAACACAGTAAATCTCTTAATAACTAAGATGGAATCTCTCAACAACCTAGTGGGATAAATGACTTGGCTTAATGTGATTTTGGAAAAATATAAAATGGTAACTGGACACTGCTCTGACTCTTAATTTAGTATGTTCCCTATTAACTACGTTTAAATTATTAAGCATTTACTATGGCTTCTCTTATGTCTTATTAAGAACAGTGTACAGTGTAAATCCAGAGCAAAAGAGAAATGACTTCATTGAGAATACTTGACTGATTAATCCCTTAGCTTGAATATTATGTATAAAAGTATGTAAGCATTTTTTCAATTGTTATTATTTTCACTAAAGTTAAATAACATAAGTTAGAATCATTATGTAATATTATATAACATTAATGAGGAAGCTGTAGCATGAGTCAGATTGCTTTTGTTCAACTGTTGTCTCCACATTTACTACTTTGTGATCATGGCCAACTCAATCCACTTCTGTTAAATAGAGACATAATGGGTCTTCTTATAGAGTAGAAAGATTGTAAACTATAATATATATTGATTGTTACAGTTTCTTAGATGTCCCTCCATATCATAGGTGGGCCTTTTCTGAGGTGGTTCAATCTAGGGTATGTGATGCTGGGATCAACAATGTGAAGCTGGGATTGATTGAAGATGCAGTGCTAGGGTTAAGGGTGGCTGCACTACCCTAGATAAGAGTGCTACCAGCCCTAAGGGTGGTAGCCTGGATAGGATGTAAAGGACAGAAAAAGCCCTACTGGTGTCATTTGCACTTTTCACTTGCTCCTGGTGCTGCTGGTGCTGCTTGCTGCTCTGCTGCTTTCTGCCAGCCATGAACTGTTTCTCCTCTGTGATGCCCTCTGCCACACCTCCCTGCCTTGGAGCCAGTGAACTATGAACTGAAACCTCTGCAAACTGTGAGCTGCAATAAACCTTTTCTCCTTTAACCGTGGGTGTCATGTATTTTTTTCTCAGTGAAAAAAGTAACTGAGACACATATTAAGACAATTATTCTACGTGGTCTCATTTTTCAAAATCAACAACATACATGTGTTTGTTGGTTTGTTTTACATGCATTTTAAAGACATACTTTTACATATGAAAAGCTACTTTTCAAACCTAAAGTAGGCAACACAACATACTATCAGGCAAAATCATTGGAGGTTTCCCCCATAAATATGATCCCTAAAGGGGCCACAGAGAGCTCACATAGTCTCTTCTGAAAGTTCTTTTTTTTTTTTTTTTTTTTGGTACCGGGAATTGAAGTCACAACCTTGCGCTTGCCAGGCAGGCACTGTGCCACTGAGCTAAATCCCCAGCCCCTCTTCTGAAACTTCTTTAAAATTTTTAATGTTATTGGAGAATTGTTCTAAATTTAAGTTGCTGAAATCCAGAACCATTTATGTCTCAGAATATCAAAACTGAGTGAAACAGAAAAAGGTAAAAAATATAAACCAAAGAAAAATGTAAGTTGATAAACTTATAAAAGTACATTATATAAAAATATATCCTATGCAGATATAGTACTACTGATACACAGCGAAAAGAAAGTTTACTACTCACCATCCCAGTGACAGAGCCATTGTCAAGGGCAAGAGAAAAATGCCTTATCTCATGACTTTGAAAAATGCATATATTTCCTTTGTTGAAAATGACATCAAAGAGGCCTAGGGAATATTTTGTAAGTATTAACAAGTAATTCATGCTTTAAAGGGTTTTTCTCTTATTCAGTTATACATCTAAATCTCCTGATAATATATTTTATGTTTAAATTAAATGTTTGCTATTAATCAAAAGGTAAAATGACTTACCTACACATGTTCAATTTATAAAATTTTGTAATATAATGACTTTTGCTCCAGAGGTATATTAGAATAAAATGATTCTTTAAATTGGTGATTCTTTGAGCCATGACTTACTTCTTGATGAACAGATGAAGTCTGTCTCTGTGGGTTGTATGTATATGTGTATACATACACTCTGTGTATACACACATATGATAAAGAGTGTGATATAAAATGTATAATTTACATTCTAGGTTTGTAGAGTGATTTCATCATAAAAATTAGATTTTCTAAAATGAACATATCCCTCCTTTCTTACAATTGTCAACATAGCCCATTTTACATTAACACAAAAATTTGAGCCTAGTCAATCCATATTAAATGAAGTATTATTGGTGTTATTAATTTAGGTTCCCAAATCCCAATTTTTATATAAGTAGTGCATGCTGATTGTGCCACTGGAGCTTCTAAAATCCTGAATTTTACCATGGAATTACCCATATATTTGCTTTTAATTATTCACCTTATCATATGTGTATATTCATCTAGTATTAAAAAATATAATTTATGAATTCCCCCTTCATATTTTTATTCCAATTAACTACATGGGCAAACACTTTTAATAAAAAAAAGTCTAATGTAGAGTATAATTACAGACCTCCAAATATAAAAAGATTTCACTATATATTTAATAATTTTATATTCATTTAAAGTTATTTCTCAAGTGAAAGATATGAAAATCATTTCAAAAGACTTCCAAATGGACAGCTTTCCGCCTCACTAATCTCTAATTTGTCCGGTAAAATGCATCTTATAGTGAAGAATTAAGGGCCTTCACAAAACTAAATCATGGTTATGAGTAATGAGTAATTAGATAATCCTGGGCGTTGTGGTGCTACTGTAATGAGGAAAGAACTAAGAGGCAGAAATTTGCACTTAAGAGTCTCATACTGACTTGTTAGGTAAACCTGGACAAATCACACTGTAGGCATTTCAATTGCTTCATCGAATAAGGGCAGGAATTCCCAAAGCAACGTTGTGCAGATGACCAACTCATCATGTGAACTAATGAATTAATGATGGAAGAGTCTGAAAACTATGGGACTATTACTGCAAGTGTGCTAAAAATAACTGCCATGATTTAATTCAATCTTCCACTTGAGCTAAAGAACTCATAAATGCCAAAACCTAAATCCGTAAAACTATCAAGGCATTATATTTGTTTTCATTTTGTTTTTAAAATTATTACAAGGATTTTATTCCCCAATTTTGTGTTAAAACAGCTTTATTGAGATATGATTCATATACAATACAATCCACCCATTTAAAGTATACAATCCAATGGTTTTTAGTATGTTCACAAAGTTAAGCCACTGTTAACTACATTCAATTTCAGAACATTTCTATCATCCTAGAAAGAAATTTCATTGTTATGGCTTGTATCTAGATGTTGCCACAAAGCCTCATGTGCTCATAGGTGCATCTTTTTGGAGCTGACTGGATCTAAGACGTGTGATACTGGGATTACGAATGTGTGGTATCACTTAGTCCACTGGTTGGAATTAGCATATTCTGGGTGTGGATAATGGAAGCCCCAACCCATGTGCATGCAGCACCAATCAACAGGTTTATAGCCTGGACAGAATATAAAGAGCGAGAGGGAAGGAAGGCTTGCTGCTGCCGCTGCTGCTGCTGCTGCTTCTTCTTCTGTTGCTGCTGCTGCTGCTGCCGCCTGCTGCTTGGTGCCTCCTGCCTCCCCTGTCCTGGACTCCTATACCATGCTGCGCTGCCCTGCCCTGGAGCCAGCTACTTATGGACTGAAACCTCTACCAACTGTGAGCTAAAATAAACCTTTCCTCCTTTAACTTCAGATGTCGGTATTCTGTATCAGCAATGAGAAAATTATCTAAGACAATTATCATTAGCAGTCATTCTCCCCTCCTATTTGAACCACCCCCTCCAAAGCCCTATCTCCACGTAATCACTTAAATGTCTCTATTTGCCTAGTCTAGACATTTTTTCTTTCTAATACATTTATATATCCTTTGATCAACATCTCCATGTCTCTCACTCCCCTCTAACCACCCAGGCATCAGGCAACACCATTCTACTCTGTCCTTCTATGGAATCAGCTTTTCTAGATTCCAGGGGATTCTTTCTATGCCAGGCTTACTGCACCTAACATTATGTTCTCCCGGTTCTGTTTTTAAGATTTGGAGGAACCACCATACTTTCTATAACAGCTGCAGTAATTTACATTTCTACAACTTGTATAAGTTTCCTTTTCTACACATCTTTACTCATACTTGTTATCTTTTGTCCTTTTTATAACAGCCATTCTAACAGTTATGAGGTGGTACCTTACTGTGGTTTGGATTTGCACTTCTCTGATGATTAGTGTGGTGGATTGACAACCGGTGGTCAACGTATAACCCCCAGCTGAACTGAGTAAGCATGATGCTGGGTGTGGGAGGCCCACCTGGGGACTGCTGCCAGCAGCATAAAAGGCAGAACCAGAGAAGAAGAAAGGCTCTTGGGAGCTGAGAGAAGCTGTAAGGAGTTGTTGGTTCTTTTGGAGGACTTTGTCATGCTGGCTTTCCTGATGAACTCGGCTGTTCCCATTGTCCAAGGAGCTCAGGACCTTGTTGGCACTGAGAATAGCTCTGGTCCTCATTTTGAGCATCATTCCTGGCTCCAGAAGGGAAGATGGTGCACTGCTCAGTCTCCTGGAGCAGCTTGCTGCATTGGCTTTCCTGATGGGAACTCAGCTGTCCTGATCATCGGAGGAGCTCGGGACCTCACTGTTGCTGAGGATGGCTGTGGTACCTTTCAGGGGAGCTCTAGTTCCTCTGAGCATTGCTTCCTGGCTCCAGTGCAGACCCCTCAGCCTGCTAGCATAGATGCTTCATCCTGCTGGCGCAGATTTTCTAGATTCCACCACTAACCTTTGGGCCTTCGCAGCGCAGATCCATGAAACAGGCCTGCATGAGATATTATTATGGGCTCTGGGCTTCCAGTTGGATTCGTGGGAAGCACTGTTATGAGCTCTAGGTCTTCAGCTGGACCCATGTAGGACATTATCGCGGGATCCAGGCCTTCAGCTGGGTTCTTTGGCCTCTAGTGTAGGGACAAATTTCTGCACTCTCTCGTATATGATTGTTTGGGTATTATAAATAATCTTATAAAATGTGTCCTGTATTATATTGTTCCCCTTGCAATATCCCCCAAACCATGACAATTAATAATTTTGAGCATATTTTCATATACTTCTTGGTCATTTGCAAGTTTTCTTTAAAAACATGTGTATTCAGACATTTTACACACTTACAAATAGGGTTATTTTTTCTTGTTATTGAGTTTCTTGTATATTTTGGATATCAACTCCCTATCACATATAGCTTACAAATATTTTCTTCCATTCTGTACATTATGTCTTTATTGTTTTCTTCTCTATATAAGAGCTTTAGAGTTTGATCCAGTTTCATTTGTCTGGTCTTGATTCTGTTGCCTTTGCTTTTGAGGTCATATTCAAAAATTCACACAGCTTTTCAGGAACATGTTGTTTAACTTCTGTGCATTTAAAGTTCCTCAAGTGCTTCCTGTTAGAGTTCTAGATTTACATCACATGGTCAGAAAAGATACTTGTTTGGTTTTTTGGGTTTGTTTTTGTTTTTGTTTTTGTTTTTGTCTTTTTGAGAGAGCGTCTCGATAGGCAGCTCAGGCTGGCCTTGAGCTCACTTTGTAGCCCAGGCTGGTCTCGAACTCGCAACAATCCTCCTGCCTCAGCCTCCCGAGTGCTGAGATTACAGGCGTGCACCACCACACCTGGCTTGATATTATTTTTTGTCTTCATAAATTTTTAAGCCTTCTTTGACTTCTTTTAAGGCCTCACATATGGTGGTTTATCCTGGAGAATGTTAGGAAGAATATATATCCTGTAGCTACTGAATGGATGGTTCTGTAAATGCCTGTCAGGCCCATTTGGTCTAGAAGGCAGTTAAACGTGATGCTTCTTTATTGATTTTCTGTCTGGATAATCTGAATATTGCTGAACATTGCTGGACACTGAAGCACCCTACTATTACTGTATTGCAAGCTATCTCTCCTTTTAGAACTAATATTTAATTTATATATTTTGGTCCTTCAATGTTGAATAGACACATAGGATGACGTGTCAACAACAGAAATAGTCTGAAAAATGTGTCAGTAGATGAAGCCATCACAGTTCAAACATCACAGGGTGCACACATACAAACTGCTCCACATGACCTCAAAGCAATCAAGAGCTATGGTAAATACAACACGTATAAGGCTGTATCAGCACAACACAGCATAGGATTTTTTACCTTAATAAACAGAAGGATTACACTCCAAAATAATAAAAATTTAATACATAAACTCATAAGATAGTTTAACAAATATTATACACCACCCCTAATTGTACATGCTGTGCTTATGTAAGAATGGCAGTGCAGCAGGCTTGTTTAGAACAGCATCACTACAAACACAAGAGTAATGCACTGTGCTAGGATGTTACACTATTACAATGACTACAGGGTCAATAGATCAGAATTTTCCCTCTCCATCATAATTTCATGGGACCACTATTATATACGTGATGATCAAAATGCTATGCAGCACACGTGTATTTACAACTTTTATATCCTCTTTACCGTTACGTAATGACTTCATCTCTTTAGTTTTTGACTTAAGGTCTGTTTTATTGACTATAACTATGCTGCACACTTTTGGTTTCCACTTGCACAGAATATTTTTCCTTATTGCTTCACTTCCAGTTGGTGTGTCCTTTCAAGCGAAGTAAGTCTCCTGCAGGCAGCACATAGTTCGGTGTTATTGTTTTTCTCCATCCAGTCATTTTATAT